CAGTCTCACTGTAAAATTTAACACAATGCTGGGAATCTTACAGACATCTGTAGAAAATGGATTGTTAACCAGTTACATGTATCAAAAAAAAGAGATAGGAATATATTTCGTACCTATCAAATGCTGTTTTAGAGGTGGAGCTTGCCAGAGTGGCATTGATGTAGAACATTCCAGGTTGTCATAAGCCTCTTATGTAGGGTGAACAGGAAGAGAGCAGAATTTGAAATTTCTGAAGGAAGTCAAAATTGCAGGTTTGATTCTGACCTCAAACCTGTTCTTTACTGATGTGCTGGAAGGTAGAGAGGGGTTTTTGATTTATTCAAACGTTAGTTCATATTTAAATGAATTAGATTTATTTTTTCCAAAATGTAAAGCTCCACAATTAAAGGTAGAGAACAATTTCTTACAGGCAGTCCTGGTGTGAGTATGTCTTGATTTGAAGGATTGGACTAATGCCTTCCAATTTAGCCTGAGAATATCTTGTGGGTATGGAGGTCTGTGGAAAGGACAAGAATGTTTGTGGGTCAAGTGAACAAATGAATGGTGGAAACCTGTAGCCAGGGTAAGAAGGAGGGGATGGAAAAAAGAAGAGATAGGTGATAAGGGATTAAAGAGTATACTTTTAATATGGCTTGGATCTGTATGGAAAATGAGATGACATGGTTCTTTAGGATTATCATACTGAGGACCTAATTTGCAAAATCCATAATAAGGACAATATTTTTTATTATGTAGCATTGTCACAATGGGTACCTGTCCCACATGAGGTTGTCAAGGCAATGTGAGAAAAGGACTAGAATAGACAATAGAAATACTAATTTGCATTTATTGGTGAGGGAGGAACAGACAAGGAAATACAGAGAAAACGAGTTCAGGTTTGCCTATGTTAAGTTTGTTTGGATTGAAGTACATGGTGGGTAGCTCATTTGGTACAGCAGCTCTAGTCTTCAGCTATTTCTGTGCAAGACTATGTAGACACATCCACTGTAGAGCAAGCACCCAATGTAATTTTGTTATGTGTTGGTAAGCATTTGATAGGAATCATGCAAAGATTATGTAAGGAACCAGGAGGTAATCTTTTTTGCTAGAGGCTTGTATAGTGGCTATGAAAGCATTTTTTCCCCTCAAGACCAGCTGGAGAATGTATTAGTATGTGTAATTGCTTTCTTTTAAAAAAGTAGCTATTGTATTGATTGACATAGTTTCCCTCTCTCCGTATACTACAGTCCTAGTCTAACCCTTGACTTCTGAGATTTGTAAATCATGTCTAAATCTGTTACTACCCATCACTCCTGAACAGGTGAGTTCATGAGCTGGGCATGTACTGAGATGTAAAGTGAATGTGTTGCACTTGAATGTTGGATGTAACTGGTCTCCTAACTGGTGGCAAGCCCGTTCTTCCTACTTGTACCCTTTGGGCGTTAGGGCTCTTGGTTTTGTTTATTGAAGGATTTTAAAATGAGCATTAGGGAATGCAAAGAGACAACTTCCCTATCTCTTGTGGAGCTGTGTTCAGTGACAATAATGGATGTTTTGACCCTGAAGAACTGTAATCATAATACGTACAATGCAGTTCACTGGGTGATGTTACATGAGTTTATTTGGGTGGAGGGTGTACCTTTCTTTTCACTTCATGGTTGAGGACTGATAGGATAAGTGAACTGAGTTGCTGAAGACTCTGGCAAGCCACGTGCACAGCAGAGCTAAAGCAGATTTCTACTTAACTTCTCCCTGGTACATTAGCTAGATGCCACAATATCCTCCTTAGTAATCTGAATACAGACTGTGTGGAATTATAGCAGTTATATCTGTGATCAAGATGTAAAGCTCCTCCTGCACCAAATGAAGATTTTTGTGGAAAAAATTGTTTTTCTTTCTTCTCTTTGTTTTTCTTACAGAGGAGGCATCAGTTGTTACTGTCTTTAAAGCAGATAAATATATCTTTATGTAATGAATTCTCTCATACAAGCTGTAGGAGTTACAGGTGAAAATGCATGAATATACTCAGGAACCTCTGGGTTTCAGTTTGCTATCTGCCAAACTTCGAAGTTTTTATGGAATATCAGATGGGTACAGTTTCTTAAGCAGTATCTTGCATTGTGTTTACTTCCATAAGGACTCTTGGGAAGTAAAATACCACTTAGGGTGTGTTGGATTATCAGAAATTGATTCTAAAGTAGCTACTTTTTTTGTAGTAGTAAGAGCAAGGAAATATTAGGAGCCAAAATGATGGTAAACTCTGTATCAGTTTTAATGAAAGGGTTATAAACCTCTAATTTATAGTCTGTTGGTATTATGTTATCAAAAACGTTTTCACATTAGAATTAGTACTATTATAGACCTAGGTAATTTTAAAATGTGCAATACCATTGCTCCCCAGTTATTTAGAACTTTCTTTTAAGGAAAGCCTTATTTGGAGGTATAGCTGTGTATATTACATGAGGGTGTGGGTCTAAGTACAATTTTGCTATTGTGATATTTGTCTGTATTTCCTTCCATTGAGTATGTGAATGGCTCGTATCTCATCAAATGAAAAGGAGGTAAAAAAATTGTTCATCTTGGTAGATTTATATTTTTTTAATTTAAGCTTCAGTTCCATTACCTTTTGATTAAACATACTTCTGTCTGCTGCTATCCATCTTTTATCACTATGGAATCTGCTGCCAAGCAGAAAGAAGGATGGCATCTGAATTATGCAGAAATCATTTTCTATCTATTTTTCTTCAAATGCTGGGCAGTCTTTTTCATAATCCCACCAATATTGCATGTGGCTAGTTCGAATCCTCTGCCTATTTCTGAATATTCAACTATCAAACCTTGGTCTTTTGCTATTTGTTTTTATGTCAATGTATTGTCCTGGATGTCATTTGCTTCAGTTGTACGTCAAGCTCCCAATTCAAGGGTGAAGAACAGTGAGTTATCATTAGTTCTGAAAAGATTTGAGCTATCAGTTTTTAAAGTGGTCTTGTAGTTGTGCATTTCTAAGTATAACTTTAAAACCAAACAAAAATAACCATGTTCTGTTGATCGGATCACCATCAATTTTATCAAATAGCTTAGACCACAAATCAGTCACAAGTTATGTAGGTAATTACCATAAATAAGATTTCATTCATAATTATACACTTATTGACCTCTTTGGGTATGTGGTTGGTTTTTAATGTGATTCACAAAAGCATAATTGGTAGCATACAATGAGAAGGGTGCTTCTTGAGTTTGACAGAGTGAAATACACAGTCTTCTGCAGTAAAACAAATGGAATTTCACTGTTAAGTAGAGGTGATCATTACCCACTTTCCTGGTGGGCAAAAGCTATTGAGCACTGTTGTATACAATTCACTGCATTATAGTTGCAGATGTTGGTTGTGTCCTTAAGCCAAGTATCTTCTGTGTTAGTAACCTTTATAGATGCCAACAGTGCGTCTGGGTGCTTGAGAATCACATGCACACAAAGCCTTCCCTGCGGAGAGAGGAGCATGGAATTAGATCTGTAAAGTGCTGTCTTCCTTGGGTCAGCTTGTGAGTGTTGTCATGTGTTAGCTTCATGTCAACTTGGACAGTAGGAGATAGAACAACAAAAGAAAGAAAGGAAAAAAAGCAAGAAATACAAGCAAAGAAGGAACAAGAAATACAAGCAAAGAAGAAACAAAACCTCCCCAACAAACAACAGTTGGCCCTGGATTTCTGGCTAGTTGGGAAAATAATTTTTCTTCATCAAAACCCAGTCAATCCTCTTTATTTTTTAAGAATGAAAGGGGATTGACAGATGTTTGCTGGTGACTAGACTGCGCTACCAGTGCAGGTTCATAAGCAGTAAACTCTATGCTGTGTTCTTCTTGCTGTGCACATAAACCATAACTTCTTTGGTGATGGCTTCCCCTGCTGTCCAGAAGCCAGTTCTGGAGATATTTTGTGCAAGGGAGAAGAGAGATGGGAAGTAGTAGAGTAGAGCACAGTAATGGCAGTAGAAAATATAAATAGAGGGAGGAGAGCTAAAATAGACAATGAAAAGAAGAGTGAGAAAGTGAGTTGCACTTTATTACATTGCTCACAGGGATCATTGATAAGTAATGTGTCCTTGCATTCTTGTGTAGTTAAGTCCATGTCATCAGGGACAAATTTTGCACTTGGTATTACTTGTCCTGTTGCCCTGCATATGTGCCAAGTTTTTCAACTTCAGTATTATGTTACTACTTGGTTATAGTCACATTCATCCTGGTTGTCTGGAAATTTGCCTGGGTGACTCAGAAAGAAATATTTCATTGTTTTATAGGACCTACCATCTTTCCACCTTTTTTCATTTTGTTGATGAGAGCAGCTGTAGCTTGTTTCAGGAAGGTAAACTCCTATATATCTGTACTAAACAGGTAGCAGAGTGCTTTCTTAAAGCAATGAACAGTATGGAGGTAGAACACAAATGTTAATTCATTGTTGATGACATCTAAATGCACAGCTGTACAATTTCTTTCAAACCTTCATGAACCATTTCAGGTCTTTAAGCCACATATATATTCTGACTTTACTAAGGATACTTAGTTTGTACCCTCTGGCTATGTTAATCCATCTTAATTAGAAGCATTGGTTTTGACTATCTAAACTTTATACAGCACTCATTGTTTCTAAAGTTCTAATTCTCTGTACTGCTCTACTCATAATATTAGGCTTCTGTATCTCTGAACTTCTGCTTCTGGCAAAGATGACTGAAGATCAGACTCTCAAATGGAAGCTAAACTTGTTAGCTGTTTGTAATAATATGTAAAAATGAATGAATGGTTTTAAACAAACAGGAAATTATGCTGTATATTTAGTCTTGCATGTGTGAAAATCCAAACAGCTTGCAAATACGTGTAGTGCTGATTTCCATTGCTTTCTGAAATGAATCTTTTGAAATAAACATGCTTTTAATATAAATATTGGAAGGCAGGAAGTAGAAGATTGTTACCTTAAAGGCAACCTCATAATACATTTAATTACATGTTTGCTTATTTTTCCAAATGTAGGTGTCCGCCTAGACAGAGTACGTGGAGGTCGCCAGAAGTACAAGCGCAGAATAGATGCAGAGAATAGCCCGTACCTGAACCCTCAGCTAGTTCAGCCAGCAAAAAAGCCATGTGAGTACACCAGATACACAAAATTTCTCTTTGAGTACAAGGTATTGACTTCTAGTCCTCTTTGCTAAGCTCCTTCTGACTGGAACAAGGATTTGGTCAGAGGATATTGCCATGAAGACTATATCAATTTAGCTGTTAACAGGTTTTGTTTTAAATATGCTCATCTTTCTCAAGTGGAGTTGAACAGAGAGTGTTTTTTACAGGTGGAAGTGTAAAAAGCATGGTTTATGCAGTGCAAATTTTACATTTACAGGTTATCTTTATTTTCAGTGGTACATAAAATGGTTCATACTGTGATCATTAGCTCATTGAGGCTTCTACTTTCAGATTTCACAAGAAAGTGATTTTTGTAGTTTTCACTAACTAAATGAGTTTGACTGCTCAACCTCCCAATGAAAATACATTAAGAGCCTCATTAATTTATACCTATAGATTAATACACTACCTAGCATTAGATTAAAACAGCAATATGCCACACTAATAACAAAGAAGAGATTGGTAGTTTGGGCTCTAGTACCCTCTTCGATTTTTTTGCTTTGTTTTGTTATGTTTTAATAATGTCCTTGATTGTATCTTGCTAGGCTGAAATTAAGAGGGAGAGAGAGAGATGATCATCTCATTGCTAAAATACAAGTTCCATCCTCTTTGCGATTAACTAAAAATAGTTAGGGGTTTTGCTTTGCAGCTTATATAAACTCAAGCAGAGACTGTACTAATTCCATGAAGTAAATTTAATAGCATTATAGCTGTAGTGCAAGAGGTTGGTGTATTACCCTGAAAAGGCATAACGCCGTATTAAGTATTGTAAACTCCTCTGAATTCAAACGAGAATACACATGTCCAGTTGCTCCTGCAGAGAAGGTTAATTTGCTCCTAAAATGGATAAGTAAACCAGAGAAATAAGGAGGGCAAATTCCTCCTTGTCTCCCATTTGCCTCTGCCCCTAAGCCTCTGACAAAACACATGTCAGTTTTAGCCTCTTGAAAATACCTGGCTGTATTGAAAATGGAATTTGTTTCCGATCGTGTTCCCCAGTAGGGGACAGTGCTGTGTACAATACGTTTGAGCATATGGGGATCTGGAGAGCAAATAAACAGTCTTTGAACTCTAAGTGAAAGGGCATTTTAGCTGTGTCAGAGAAAAAACAGCCAGTTTTACATAAAATTAAGGCTTAAGTGAACATATGGCATAGTTTCCTTTTGCCTTTCCAAAAAACATTATGCTGATTATATTCCTTCAATTGTCCAATCTGGCATCTTCTACTCAGCCTCCATAAGCTGTCCCACTGTTCTGTAAATACAATCTAGGGCTGCACTAAGCAGATTTTGCACATTATAATAAAAACTTTCTGATAATACAATAAAATTTAATAAACTCTAATGCTTAATTTCATTAGAGGTTTAGTTTTCCTGGGTGCACAGATTTTCAGTTTTTCAATTACTTGATATTGTCATTGAGTAGAAAGATTGGTAGCCTAACATACCAAAAAAGCCAAGACCAAACAGACCAAAAAAAAAAAAATAAATTGCAACCCAAAAGCTGCAAGCTCTTAAGGCATGAACTGAGGTTAATGCAATTGTACCAAAACCCAGGAATCTCTGTGTAAACCCATGATTACTGCAAAGTGGTACATTACCTTTAAGACTTTAACTACACCAATTTCTTTAAGCTCCATTTGCCTGAGATAAACTAACCTCCTCATAAATCATTGCTCATTATCTAAGTGCCTCCCTTTTTCTTAGCTTGTCCAATTACAAACATTTCTGTAACAAACATTTCTAAAACTTAATTTTCAAATCTTGACAGATAAGTGTCCAGACTTGAAAGAGTTGAATTGGGTTTGTGTGGAAGTAGCCTGGGAGATTTTCTGGACCCAGACTGATAGTTTGTGTGTAACAAAGGCGCAGGAATGAAAATTGGGTTCTATTGATTCTAATTAGGGAAACATTAAATAAGATTTACCTAGAAACAGTGCTCATGGCTATTCAATTTCCTGAGTGATGGAGTTTTCTAAGTACATCCAAAATTTTCCAATGTTTTATACTAGTGCATGAGCCAATACATGTAGCTTTTTCCCTCTACAGGGCGAGAACAGGTGCCTGGAGGAACTTTCCTACAGCTGCTTCTGATCTATAGTGTATTTTCCAGCTTCACCATGGACTATAATGGTCTGCTTGTAGATCTTATTAATTGCAAAATCAAAAAAAAAAAAAAAAGAGATTTTGTGAATCCTGAATCAAAATATACAATATTCCTGAATCATTTAGAGAATACCATTGGTGAGGAACCTCATGCAAAAATGGAAGAGGTTCTTTGGCCATTTCTTCTGTTGTATGGAAAAAACCCCCATAACTTGGGGATGAGAGGACATTCATTTATAACTGGTTAAAACATCACAAAGTTGAAGTCCTCAACTACATATGTTTAGATGTTAAGAAACTCTGTAATTCATTTATTCTACTTTTCAAACCATGTAAAAATATTGGAATTTGGGAGGAAGTAATATTAATTTTTCTCTCTCCCATGTTTTCTGTGTGAAATTGAACAGGATATGAAGAGACTGTTTAAAAGAATTAAAAAAATGTCTAAAGGCTGTTTGCCAATATAAGTTGAAACTATCACCTGTCATCTTTAAATAAGAATAGAATTCTTCATTAATCAGTTTGATAATCAGGAGAATATTGAGATCAAGAATTGCTCAGTTGGCCTGATTCCTATAGTTCATATAAAGCATGAATGTATCCCCTTGTAATAAAACATGCTTGATGTGATGGTTTCCAGTTGGCTCTTGCACTTATTATATGAAAGACTAACATATATCACAACTTCTGACACACAAATTTGGAATAAGGCAAAAATTGTTGAGACAGTAGATCAGAATCAAGGAGTCTGTGTCACAAAAGAGCTATAAAGTATCAGAAATCTGAATCAAGTGAGTATGCTATGGAAATATGTCATGGGCACTGCTGGGCAAGTCACATCCCAGTCAGCTTCCATTGCAGGAGGACAGTGTGTTCCATCCTGTGACTTATATGCAGATGGCGAAAATTATACTAATTCTGACAGCTTTCTCTCCAGTCAGAAAATACTTGGCATCTTCTCCATTTATATCAAGCCCCATAACTCTTTATCCCACCAAAGGGAACAGATTTGTGTAAAATGACTGAAAGGTGCCTTTTGGGCTTTAAATTCTGATGGTGCATTTGAGGTCACATGAAGAATAAAATGTAACTATATTGGGAAATATAGTAATGTATCCTGTATTAGGAGGCTTAATGAATTAGTCCGTTTTCCATTCTTCAGTTCTGCCTTCTCAGAGTAATAAATCAGGCTCCTGTATAGAGATAAAATATTTCCATTGTGCCTTCACATAGTGCTCATTTTATGTTTATCCTACTTATAGAACAGCAACACTGTATTGTAAATCTTCCAGGCTCTTCTCCTCTTTTTTCCTCTCTGCACTTTTCCATATAACTTAATTGATTATTCCAAATAGATTTCACAAGTCATCTGGATGAAAAAGTAAATACTACACACATGAATGGAAATGCTACATAGATAAAAATAAGCAGTATGTGACTATGATAAAGTATCATTCTTTGCACAAAACAAGTTTTCTGAGGTAAAGTTTGCATACTTTTATAGTTTTACACTCTTTATTCTCATTGATTTTAAGGTTATTCCTGTTGGAAAATGAAAGAAGATATTAGGGTATTTTTGCACTTAAGAAGCTAATTGTATACATGATTCCAAGTTTCTGTGTTTCGCTGAACATGAAGTTCATGTAAGACAACACCCCATTTTTCTTACAGTATAGGCCCCAAGGAATACAGGTTCATTCTTAACATTTCAACAGAAGGATACTCTTAATTTAAGATATCTGAGATAATGAACGCTTAGAAAGTCCTGAGATCAGTTTTGTGGCTATAGTTTAACAGCAACATCTTAATAGAAAGAATGGTAGTTGGAGTTGGTGACAGAAGGTGCAGAATTCAGTGACTGACTAACTGCTTGTGGTAGCTACTCGCTCAAAAAGTACACTTGCCTTTGGGAATGGGAGGGTTAGAGGAAGGCAAAACTTTTCTATTTGTGCAGTCCAAAGTACATTATAATGCATGAATCTTTTTCTGTAAGGTTTGTACTTCAGTAACAGAAGGTAATCATGTATTTCTATGTTCCATTAAATTTACTATATTATGAACATACATGTCTGGCTTGATAAACATTGTTAATGGATCAGATTTGTTTGTGCTGTAACCACTTGTAGAAGCCTATGAAGTTATGATAACGTGTAATTAGGTTGAGTGTCTTAAGACAAATTCTTGTGCACTTTGAAATCTGAGCCATCTGTTTGAAATGTAGAATGATACTACTGGTGATCTCGTACTGTTCTGGACTGTTTTTGCAGATAACAAAATTGTCTCCCATTTGCTGGTGGCTGAACCAGAGAAGATCTATGCTATGCCTGACCCCACTGTTCCAGACAGTGACATCAAAGCACTTACCACTCTTTGTGACCTGGCAGACAGAGAACTGGTGGTGATCATTGGATGGGCTAAGCATATTCCAGGTACATACAGTATTTATTGCAAATAGATAACATACAGAAATCATTGCATGGGTTTTTCTCTTCTGGTAAAAAATACTATTTTTTCTCTCCCTACAGTGCATAAAGTTTTCTTAAGACTCCAGTTAATTCATATAGAACATAGGTTAGATAATAACATACATTACCTTAGAAGTAGTGGTATTGTCGCAGTGAGTTTTACTATGTTAATAAGTTTTACATACTGCTTAGTGAATTAATTTTTTTCATGTATTGCTTTTACTAAGATAAACTTACCTTGCTATCCAGAGCATCAGCCTGGTATGAAGGGTAGTGCAAGTCCTCTCCCCTGTAGTCATCTGATTCAGCATTACTTGAATTTAAGTCTGGCTGCTCTGTAACATAAATGCTGCACTACCTTATACTGACCAGAGGAGGTGAAAAAATTCAGTTATATTTTGACGTGGCGCAGAGGAATTGTTCTCTTCATTGAACTAGAGTGAGAACAGGATTGTACCAGCAATTCAGTAGAAAGTACTGAATTGTACCAAAAAGTCTCCTCTTACGACTTAGTATTTCCTTGATCTGCATGAAATGGACTGCAGTCTACTTCACGTTAGTGCACTGATACTGTAAAAGCTGACTGGCACTCTTATTAGCAAGAAAAATGGGGGTCATCAAAAGCAGTTTCTCAGAAGATTAGCGATTTCTTCAGATAACAATTCAGGTATGTTTTTCCCCCCAGTGCTGAGGTGTTTGTTCTTGCTCTGTGAGCTAGCAGACAAATTCAGAGAAGTCTCCAGGGTTCTCAGTCTGTCGCCTTTCACAAACAGTAAAGTCACAGAAAAAAAGACCAGCTTTCTTTATTGTTTCTTAAGGCATTTTTCTAGTCCAGCAGATGAGTTAGCATGTTGGTGTGTTTTCATCATTAGTTTTCTAATTTTGATAGTGGAGCCTTATTAAGCATGAGACTGGATAACCTTTAATTCCTCAGAATAATACGTCATTCTAATTTTGGATGTGATTTTGTGATACTTTAATAGTAGAATAAATAATCCAGTCAGTCGTTTGTTTATCAAAGTTAAATACATTTTATTCCTAGTTTCAAAGGCAGTCGCAAAAAAATATTCTTGGGGTTTGTTGGGGTTTTTTTTACCCCTTGTATTAACCAGTTCTTCCGGGTCATCTTCGATAAATATAAATGTAATATATATATCAACACAATGAAAGAATAATAGTAACTTGTACATTTATGGAGTATTATTTCGGATGAAAGACAACAACCTACAGACTCTAAAATAGTCAATATGCGACTTGAAATTTAGTCACTCTCTATTGCCACAAACGGTGTATAAACAAGCTCTTGTATCACAAGCAATGTTTTTCTGGTACAGTTAACTTATTTCTGTCTCCTTAAACTAGTTTGTCTTTATGCTTTGAATGCTACAGTAATTTCTTTAATCAAATTGATGGAAGTCCCTTTCCCAGCCCACACTGAAACCAATTTATTGGTCATGATACGCCGGCTATGTTGCTAACAGTCGTAACGAACTGTCAGGCAATATCGCAGTGGAGCTAATTTGAAGTCATTAGGTGTGCAGCGTTCAGGCAACAATTTGTTACAGTGGTTAGGAACACAGCTGACATTTCTGAATGGCTTTGTTCAGAGCAGTTCTAGATGAGCCCAAGCAAATTGTAAACTAATTTAAACATCACTCTATATTATAGTAGCTACTTTGTCTTACACTGGTTGTTAATAAAGCACCCCAAATTAAGTCAGAGTGAGTTAAGTAGGTGAGTTTGAGTTTTATCTTTAGAAGATACTTAGATCACCTTAACCAAAATAGAGTAGCTCTCAAAGAAGTCAGTCATGCTCCATAGCAGTTTCAGGGAAACTTTTGTCGGTTTGATTTGTGAATATGCTGGGGAGCTTTGATTTGGCTGGAGGGATGAGAAGAGCAGAGGGATGAGACCGAGCAGCCTTTAAAATGATGGCTTTGGTTAGTTTGGAAAAGGTATTGGATGCCGTAAACTGGCCTTGAAAATTTAAAGTCTGTGATCTGAACCAGTTGAGGAACATTTCTGCCGTGAGACATCATTTTAGTACAAAGTAGATTCAAAACTGTAGCTACACTGGTAAAGCCACACAAGGTAAGTTTACTTACCTGATTCCATTTACAAATGAGAAGGAAAAAAACCCCAGGAAATTAAGACAATGTTTTTGTAAGCCTTCAGCTAACAGAGAACAGTGATAAAATCCGTGCTTGTTTTCTGGCGTTTGAATGCAAAAATCAAAATGCAAAAGGGCTGGACATGCTAAAGGGCAAGTGATGAGCTTTTGTAGCTGGATTTTGAATGATGGAGTACTGCTGAACTTGGACTGCCTACACTCAGCTAATGTCTGGCAAAAAACAACTTGTAGAAGAGCCTGTACTGGTGCTAGCTTTCTAATCTAACAAATGTTACTAGAGGTAGAAACATAAGAGAATGGGGAAAAGGGTGCAAATTGCATAAAAGTTCACTGTAGCTTGGCAGACTAAGTAAATCCTTGGTATAAGTCTCTTCGAGTCGATTAATTATACCAGTAGTGAATTTGTGCCTAGCACAGCAAAGCAGCAATCAGCAAATCTTTCTTTACTATAGTGATTTCTTAAGGTTCAGTGTAATTAAAGGCCCTTATATATCAGGTGCTTAATAACTAATAAAGATTTCAACTGTAAAGCATTGCAATGTAAAATTTGTCTTTGCGGAAGAAACCGAAACAATGTTTTTGCTACTCCAAAAGAAATTCTTTTAATGGGATTATCTATGGAAAGGTAACAATGCAATATGCGTTCTGCCCTGGCCAACCATTTCCCGTTGCAGTCATAAACTAAAAAATGTTTTCAAATTATACAAAGTTCAAGTGCTTTCATAAAATCATTAGTATTTTTGTGGTATTGGAAACATTTCAATACTTGCTTTTATTGAATGAAAAGTCTATACAATCTACAAAAGAAAATATTGAAAGAAAAATATATATGGAAAGCCTTTATCAGTAAATAGAATTAGTCTCCTTGCATTTATAAATCAAATAAATGGAAAGTGTGTTGTTATGAAACATGACCATGTCTTATCTGAAGAAGAAAAAGATCACAATGGCATTAGGAAATGCTTGACTTTAGTTAGAGAGGCGTAAGGGCACAAGAACAGATGATGGTGCCCTAATAGCCCTTTTTAAGAATGACAGGGCCCCGCCATTAGCATCCTTTTATATCCTTGGAAATTGCTCATGCCTCGCTTTTATGGTTCCTATCTGCCTGACTCTTTTTTATTTCTCTTTCAATTTCATCCGCGCTCGGATAAGCGCATGCTAACACAATATGATTGAGCTGTAAAATGGAACGCTGTCGCCTCTAATCTCTTTTATGTAGATATGGAGGTACTTCCACACTCCACTTCATTCTCTCTCCATTGTTGGCCTTTTTAGAATGTGTTGCCGAGTAATGGAGGCTCAGTCAAATATTAGAGCTAGGTTTCACAGGGTGTGATAAGAAGATTATCGGCCCAGCAGTCAGATCTATTGTTGTTCTTTGTGTCAGATTAAAATATTCTGATGTACTGTAACTTCGTTAGTAAAATATTGGAGGTGCTTAGGGAGAGGCTGATGCTGCCTCATCTCCTGCCTGATGAGACAAAACTCCTATTAACTGACCTAAATAAATTGTAGATATATTATAAAGCCTCTGTAAGACTTTTATTTATTTTATTTCACTTTGTTTCATTTTATTTCATTTTATATCTTCTAAATAAGGGAGCCTTTCATAATTCAGTGTTTTCTGGTGGTTGAGTTTCCTACCCTTTGCACTGTATTTTGGGAAGTTTCCATTTTATATTTGGTCACGTTATATTGATTAAACTTTTGCAGTATGGAGCTCCATTCTGCTGATACCTGGTCACAGTATCAGAGTTGTTTAGACTTGATTTCTGTAATGTAACTCTCTTGTTGACATTCAGCAAAAATGCGCAACGTTCTTTCATATTAAGTGGAGGCAGCAAACATTAAGCTCTTAAAAATGTGCATAACAGGAAGCTAAAGACAAAATGTTCTCTAAAAAATTTGCATGCATGAAAAAACATCAACCAGACCATAGAAATCAACTTTTTTGCACTTAAGATGAAAAATTTGTTTGGAAACAGTAAATCAGACTAATACATCAAAAATAACTAGTTACATTATTTAGTAAAATAAGCCTGCTTGTCTTCAGCTGTGTCTCTGTTTTGTTAGCAGTAACTGTGTTCAAGGGAAGGAATAGTTAGAAATTGATACTGCCACTGGTGCTAGCATTAAAAAAAAAAAAAAAAGAGGGGAGGGAGAATGATTTTGATGGAGTAAATACAAGAATGTTTTGAATATTTTAGTGCTAGTGTTAATTTTTTATGAAACATTGTTGCTCTGGCATACTCTTTGTAGAGGACAATATTTAAGCTTTCCTTTCCAAAGCAGCTTTCAGGGGTGTAGTTTAACATTCTAATACTGAATGAGAGCATGATATGCTTCAGAATTGTCATTTCTAAAATACCCTTTTCTCATCATCTGGTTCAGAAGTACCATCCCATGGAGGTAAAAGTACAGAGAAAAAGTTGACCATAGTCACTTTTGGAAAGCTGATGTTTAAGAAAGCATGAGCACTTACACATATGGTACGTCCATGCAGATATGAATTAGGTGCATATATGTACCTGTTCTCATGCACACAATTGTTTATTGTCTGCCTCTAAATGGACATACAGCATGTGTTTAAATGCCAGAGAAAAAGTCTGAATGTTGCTTTATGATCATACCTGAAATCATGTGTTGCAACGACCCGGTATATGTAATAACATACATTGAAGCCATAACCAGCATCCTGTTTATGCCCAGATCTTTCTCTGTATGGTTATTGGGGCAGCTAGTACAGAATCTCAGCACTGTAAGAGAAATAGGTGTCTTCCTGTATGTCTGTGCCACGCTGCTTGCTGCTGTAAAATTTGTTCTTTCTGCT